CAATAGAGAACTGTGGCATTGTTTGATTTATGCTTGATGTCTTGTGTTTGTCCGTCGTCACCTCATCTTACTTTCAGGGACCCAGTGTCCTGGTTTCGGGATGGGGAGCCAAGGCTGCTCCAGGGACCTGACTCTGGGCTAGGGCATGAACTGGTCCTGGCCCAGGCAGACAGCACTGATGAGGGCACCTACATCTGCCGGACCCTGGATGGTACCCTTGGGGGCACAGTGATCCTGCAGCTGGGCTGTGAGTTGAGGGGGATGGCAGTGATGGTACATGGGGATCCTGAGGGAGTATGGGACCTGAGTAAGCCCTCTGGGACCAGGAAGACCTGAGTACTGCTCAGTCTCCAGCTGTACCCTCTGCCTTTAGACCCCCCAGCCCGCCCTGTTGTCTCCTGCCAAGCAGCCGACTACGAGAACTTCTCTTGCACTTGGAGTCCCAGCCAGATCAGTGGTTTACCCACCCGCTACCTCACCTCCTACAGGTGTGTGTGTGATCGGGTGTGGATGCCTACACATTTGGTTATGCTGGTATAATGTGGGTGTGGGAGGCAGGGAGGTAGGTTCTGAGGAAAACCACAGAGAGGGCAGAAGGCCCTCTTTTCCTTCCTGACTTCAGATGGCCCCCTTTTCACCAGGAAGAAGACAGTCCTAGGAGCTGATAGCCAGAGGTAGGACATAAGGGAGCGTGTCGGGGCTCCAGCTGGGTCCCACAATAGGTATTTTCAAAGCCCAAGACCATGTCCTCCCTTCTAGGAGGAGTCCATCTCCAGGGCCCTGGCCATGCCCACAGGACCCCCTAGGGGCTGCCCGCTGTGTGGTCCATGGGGCTGAGTTCTGGAGCCAGTACCGAATTAATGTGACTGAGATGAACCCACTGGGTGCCAGCACACGCCTGCTGGATGTGAGCTTGCAGAGCATCTGTGAGTACCCACCTGTAGACCTTCCCCAGACCCCCATCACAGAGACCCCAAAATGGACTTAGATCTCTCCACTACCACACAGCACACACTCTAGAGGCTGCTGCTGCCCACACTGCCTGTGGCTGCCTAGCCTCAGGGCCGACTCCCTACCCTGGGCCCTGTACTGAATGTAGCTTTAGGTTATGTCCTCCCTTGCTGGCCCCTCCTTCCTTGGTCTGTGAGTGGGAATGGGACACTAAAACTCTAGCTGGAATTTGGGCCAACTCACCTTCCATGGATGAAAAGAAGAATTGCTCTTTTATTCACTCAACAGACATTTCAAAAGCCCACCCACAGATCTCAGCTGGTTTCTTTTTTCCTTTTTCTGTTGAGATAGGGTCTCACTTTGTGCCCAAGCTGGATAAAGTGCAGTGGTGTGATCTTGGTTCACTGCAGCCTCCAACTCCTGGGCTCGAGCTATCCCCTCACCTCAGCCTCTCAAGAAGCTGACATTATAGGCACTTGCCACCATGTCTTGCTAATTTTTTAATTTTTTTGCAGAGACAGGGTTTTGTTGTGTTGCCCATGCTGGTCTCAAACTCCTGGCATCAAGCAATCCTCCCGCCTCAGCCTTCCAAAGTGCTGGGATTACAGGCGTGAGCCAGCACACCCAGCCTCAGCCCATTTCATAATACAGATGACCCGTCTGAGCCTAATAGGTGATCAAGTTTAAGATTTCCCCTCCCCTCTCAGGAGTGTTCGGCTAAGGCTCCTTTAAACACACACCTTGGGAAGTGGTGAGGAAGTGATGGAGACCCATAGTCTACCCTGACTTTGTGTCTTGATGCCCTCAGTGCGCCCTGACCCACCCCAGGGCCTGCAGGTAGAGTCGGTACCAGGTTACCCCCGACGCCTGCGAGCCAGCTGGACATACCCTGCCTCCTGGCCCCGCCAGCCTCACTTCCTGCTCAAGTTCCGGCTGCAGTACCGTCCGGCGCAGCATCCAGCCTGGTCCATGGTGAGGCCTGGAATGCGTCCCAACGCGTGACTGTGGGTCCTGTCTCTGATTTCATGATCCTGAGTGTTCTGTGTAGCTTCCCAGTTCTGGCAGGTCGTTGAAGACCCAGTGCTTCCCTGTGGGCCAGGCTTGGTGCTGGGTTGCAGTGGTGACTGACAGGCTGAGTGTCTGTCCTGTGGGGCTGTAACTATGATGTAAAGCCCATCCGTGGGAAGACAGCAATGGCTTTTAAAAAATAACTCTTAGGAAAAGGAGTACCTTTCACCTAGAGGCACATTCCTGCAAACACTCATATTCTTAGCTGAGGTTAGCAGTGAATTTGTATCTCAGGAGATCTTAAAGATTGGCTGGTATCAGGCCTGGGGAGCAGCAGTATCAGATAATAACTAATATTTACTTAGTGCTGCCTGCCTGTGGGATACCTGGCTACACTTTTTGCATACATTATTTTAAGTATATCCACCCCGATTTTACACATGAAGAAACTGAGTCATAGAGAAGCCCAAAGGGTCATTCAATATCTGGTTCAGAAAAGATTTAAAAGAGGCCTGATGCCACAGCCTCTTTAAGTAATCACTACGGCCGTCTTACAAATACTAGGTGTAGACCCAACCCCACCAGACACCCAACATGAGGCCTAGACAGCTACACTAGGCTTTAGGACAGGACTTGAAGCAAGGGGTGCTCTTTGCAGATCGTGGCTAGGTAGGCCCTGCACTTACAAGCTGGGTAACAATGAGCCATGTTCATCCCCAGGTGGAGCCAGCTGGACTGGAGGAAGTGATCACAGATGCTGTGGCTGGGCTGCCCCATGCCGTACGAGTCAGTGCCCGGGACTTTCTGGACGCTGGCACCTGGAGCACCTGGAGCCCTGAGGCCTGGGGAACTCCGAGCACTGGTGAGAGACAAAGCCAAAGAAAAGGGCAGAGGCTCCATCCCAAAACATCAGTTAGCTGAACCGATTCCAAAGACAGCCAGGTGGCACATGCACTGCCCATGCAGGCACCGCTTTTGCTGTCCCAGGCTTTATCCTTGGTTGCCTACATCCCTGTCTTAGCTTAAGTCCTGCCCCTTGGCCTCCGCCCCTACAGTTACAGGCTCCACTTCTGCAAGCTTGGAGCTTGCCATGCTCCCTAGGAGCTGGCCATGCCCTTTCAGTCTCCTCCTTCTAGGCACCCTAACTTCCAACCTATGCCTTGGCCTTGAGTGCAGGACATGGACCCCACCCCTACCAGTGTGTGGACACTTGCCTTCCTTTAGGGACTATACCAAAGGAGGTACCAGCTGGGGACCAGCTACACACACAGCCAGAGGTGGAGCCTCAGGAGGACAGCCCTGCTCCTCCAAGACCCTCCCTTCAGCCACACCCTCAGCTACTTGGTGAGCTTGGGCAGATGGGCAAGAGGTGTAAAGGACTGAAAACCCTGGAGAAAAGGGGACACTGAGCTTGGTCAGGCTTGCTCTCAGTGACATGTGGCCCTCCCCCTCAGATCACAGGGACTCTACAGAGCAGGTAGCTGTGCTGGCATCTTTGGGAGTCCTTTCTTTCCTAGGACTGGTGGCTGGGGCCTTGGCACTGGGGCTCTGGTAAGTGACTGCCATTGATCCTTCAGCCTCTGATCCTCACAAATGCTCTGATGCCCATAGACCACGTTCATCTCCACCCTTCATGACTGCCCACTGGACCTATCTGATTCTGGAACTACCTCCCCACACCTCCATCCCCCATGCCTCACCTGATTATAACTGATTCCTCTCCTGACCCTTTACTAATAAACCCTTTGGAGGAGACTGAGATACCCCACATTGTTGGAGAGACAGCTGCCTTTCTATGCCCCAGGCTGAGGCTGAGACAAAGCAGGAAGGATGGATCCGCGAAGCCTGGGTTCTTAGCCCCAATGATTCCAGTGGACAGGCGTCCAGGTGGGTAGGACATCCAGGAGATTTGGACTTGGAGATGTATGCCCCTATTTTGAATGTCCAGATTAAGAGCTGGCTGCCCTAGTCATTTTAAACATGCTGGGAATCCAAGTTGGGTCTCTTTATTTTAATGATGTCTAGGCTGAGAGCTGGGCCTTTCATTCTTGAGTCCCTGGGCTCAGAAGTGTGTCTTTTCGCCTTCTCTCAGGGTACTGAGGACCCTAGATGGACTCCCCTCCAGGGCATTAGTATTAATACTCTTCCAGGGTATTAGACTCTGAGCTGGATATTCATCCTTTTTTTCCTAGGTGTCTTGGATCAGTGCTGGGTCCCTTCCCTCATTCTTTTTTTTCCTTTTGAGACGGAGTATTGCTCTGCTGTCCAGGAATTTAGTGTCATGATCTCTGCTCACTGCAACCTCCGCCTCCTGGGTTCAAGCAATTCTCCTGTCTCAGCCTCCTGAGTAGCTGGGACTACAAGCGTGCGCCACCAGGCCCAGCTAATTTTTGTATTTTTAGTAGAGATGGGGTTTCACCATGTTGGCCAGGATGGTCTCAATCTCTTGACCTCGTGATCAGACCACCTTGGCCTCCCAAAGTGCTGGGATTACAGGTGTGAGCCACCATACCCCAGCGTCCCCTCCCTCATTCTTGATTTGCTTCTAGGTCCATTCCCTTATCTTCAGGGTGTTGAAGAGGCTCTCTCAGAGCTGGGCTCCTCTACTCATCTTCAGAGTATTGAGCTTATAACTGAGTCACCTCCCTCATTCTCAGGGTATCTGGGCCAAGGTCTAGTCCTACTGTGTCTCCTGATTTGCCTCCTGCTTCTTCTAGGAGTTCCAAACCTGTAGAGGACCCAGGAGGGTTTCGGCGGATTCCACCTATAATTCTGTCTTGCTGGTGTGGATGGATGGACAGATAGAACCCAGGCAGGACAGTAGACCACTATGGTTGGGGAATCAGCTGGAAGTTCTGTTTGGAGCCCATTTCTTTGAGACCCTATATTTCAAATTGCCAGCTGAAAGTTGCCTATACCTCTGATTTCACCCCAGAGTTGGAGTTCTGCTCAAGGAACGTGTGTAATGTATACGTCTGTGTCCATGTGTGACCATGTGTCTGTGAGGCAGGGAACATGTATTCTCTGCATGCATGTATATAGGTGCCTGGGGAGTGTGTGTGGGTCCTTGACTGTTGGCCTTTCCCATTTCAGGGATTGTGCAGGTGTGAATAAAGAGAATAAGGAAGTTCTTGGAGATTATACTTAGAGATTATCATCCAATGTTGCTTTATTATTTTTGCTAGTGGGGGCTTCAGCCCATTCTCCCTAGGTTTAGGTTTGGCAGAGTCCTCTAGAGCCTTCTCTCTTGGTGCTCAAACCACCGAGACAGGCTGCGATTCTGGGGGTGGATGCAGACGCTGCGTCGAGCCAGGTGAAGTCTGGGTAAAGAAAGGTCCAAAGCTGTGATCATAGCTTGGGGATGAGATTAGTGTCCAGGGGTTAGGAGCAAGGACCAGATGAAAACCTGAGTTGGCATCAGAATTAGCAGTTAGGGTTGGGGTTAGGATCAGCATTAGGGATTGGGACTGAGGTTAGAGTCAGGGGTATCAGGGGTGGGAGCTTACATGAAAGCCTGGAGGTGACAGTCCCCATCAGCCTCCTGCAGTTCCACCCGGATGACCTTCCTCAGTAGCTTGTCTGAGAGTGGCTTTCGGTAGAGCTGAGTACAGCAGCTAGTGCTGGGTGGCAGTATCGATGCTAGAAGGCAATGGGCCACGTGTTCAGAGTGATCCTGACCAAGAACCTCTCTGCCAGACAGCTGGAGGTTTGGCTGGATTTCCTGGGTCTTTTCAACTTCATTCCATTCACCCAGACCCCCAGCTTTCTATATCCCCAAGTACTTACCTGCTCTAGGGTCTGGGCCCAGGAGCAGTGACAGCAGCAGGAGGCTACAGAAGGTTGAGGGTCCCTTCATACTGCTCAGCCTAGATTCTTCCTTCTTTCTCCTCCTCCTCCCCTACCTTTTATCTGGGTGTCTTTTACCTGGGGCACTAGGTGAGTCAGAGGCAGTTGGAGAAGTATTGCGTATCCTGTGACACTTCTGGGCCCTAATTCTTAGCCTGTTGCCACAGACCCCTTCCTCATCTTGGACTGCCATTTCCCATGGGCTCCTAAGCTCTGGGCAGCCAAGCTGGGGGAAGGATTAGTGTGTGATATAGGGACTGATGGAACAGTGAGTAAGGACAGTCAGCCATCCACAGTGGCATCTAATGATAGACATTCACACTCATATACCCATAGCCACACATTCACACTCATATACCTTCCCCCAGTTTCTCTGAATGTGGCTGGCCGCAGCCAAGACACCACCTCAGCATCCACCCGGATGACGTTCCTCAGTAGCTTGTCTGAGAATGGCTTTCCAAGAAGGGCCTGCTCTAGGGACCCATTCCCATCAGTTTCTCCTGATAAGACAGGCAGGCCAGGGCAGGAAGTGGGGAGAAGATGAAGGCAAGTTGGTGCTGGCTTGTCCTCTGCTCCCACCCCACCCACAACTCCCCCATCAGAATGTGTGTGTGCTAGTGTGAATTTGCATGTGATTAGATGACTGTGAAAACACAACTGGGTGGGAATGGGACTTTGAGTAAAACTGGGGCTCTATAATTTTGTCTATGGTTGTCTGATCATGAGTATGACTTTGTGAGGTTGACCAAGTAATCAAGGAGTGAATATGTGGCTATGGGTATATGAGTGTAAGGGTGCTTTGGAGATGCTGAGGTTGGGCAGCTTTCCCCAGGATGATGAGACAGAGAGGAAAGGTGGGGTAGATAAAGAAGATAAAAGTTCTTTGGTGCTAGGTTGCTGTTGTCAAAACAGGTAAAAGGCCGAGTAAATCTTACCTTCCTGTTTTTGCCTAGTCCTGTTCCAGGAATGCCAACCTCTTGCCAGCAGGGACCTGGAGGTCTCCAGATACAGTCCCTGACTTGTTGAAGACATTAGACTCAAGACTCAAGAACATCTTTGTTCTACTCAAATTCCAGCCTCCTTCCTGGGCCTGGAGGAACATCCCCACTCCCTACCTGGGTTCAGTAACACCCTCATGTCCAACTCCTACACCCTCTGTATCCCACCCTCCAGCTATAGCCCCTTCTCTCCTAATCCCATACCTGTCCATCACTCCTTTCTTTCCCCACTCCCCGCAATGCAAAGCTCCTATTCATCTTTATCCAGTCCTTTCCAGGAAGCTGGGAACTGCCTAGGGTGGGGGTATGCTGCTGAGTTTAGTGCCCCTGGCTCCTTGAAGAATTTCCCACTCCTGGTCTCAATCTGCAAGTCCTGCTCAGTATTTGAAATAAGCTAAGTCATAATGCACTAATCCAGCCCTTGTCTTATTGCAGTTTCCTGCTCTAGGGTCAGCCACTCTCTAGGGCTTATGCCTTTCTTTGGGCAGCCCTTTCTGCTGCAGGGCTGCTTCAACAATCAGGAGGGCCTTCAGTTCCCAAATTAGGGACTAGCCATCCTCCAGGCTGAAAATTCGAACCTCTTCTCCCTTCTGTCCAGGGTGAGGCATGAAGGTCCCTCCCTGGAGTTTTTCTCCAGGATCTTCAGGTTTTCTGATCACATCCTGGTGAAGGGTCAGCCCAGGGCTGGACAGGGCACTTCACATTTGAAAGGGCCTTTTTTTTTTTTTTTAAACCCCAAGATGTCTGAGAGATGGATGAAGGGGTCTTTGATGTGGACACTGTAAGGAAAGAGCTTGGGTGCTTTCTTGAAGGTGACCATAGCCCAGAGGTCACTTATCTTGAACTTTTGGTACCAGGGGCCTTACATTCCCTCTCCCACCCTCCAGTCCAGACTTGTGCCCCAAGGCTTGGGTGTAGCCACTGAGGAAATCCCAAGGAAATCTCCCAGATATCTCGGTTTGTCATAGACCTTCTCCATCAGTTGGCTGTGTGCTACATACTTTCTGGTCTTTCCTGGACTTATCAGTCCAGAGGCCTTTGGAAGGCAGAAAGCAAATGCTTATGGGTGTGCTCCCATCTCTCCCCTTTAAGGCCAAGTCTTCTCTCCAGCCACAGTCTGCTGTAGCAGAGATAGTTCCAGGCTGAAAGTCAGCTTTGGCCCCAGCCAGAAACTGGGCTGTCTCTTTCTTTAGCTTAATCTTGTGTTGCCCTTTCTGGTGCTGGGGCCAGTCCCTAACTGAAGGCAGGCCCACCTGGCAGTCCCTGATTCTCACCACTTGAGGAGTTAGTGGGTCCCAGGCTGATTGGGTGACAGAAGGGGGCAGCAGAGAGCAGTGGCCTTTGGACTCTCCTAGGGAGGTAGCAAGAGCTGCTAGGTAGGCTGATGCCAAGGATCTCTAAACTTGGGATCAGACTGGAGGAGCCAAAAGTTGGGGTATGAACTATTGCAAAGGTCACAAACCCAAGTCCTTACCCTGTGACAGGCAGCTTCTAGGAATCTCCCCCTCTTCTCATTTACAGCCTGTATCCTACACCTCTTCTTAAAATGTTTTAGATACACTTCCAGAAGAGAAGATTCTTCAGACAGTTGGCAAAGTCCTGGCTCCAAGGAAGGGAGTAACAGGCAGGATTATTTAGTTCTCTTCATATAGGCTACTTACAGTATGGGTTTTTGGGGAGTAGGGTTGGGGAGACAGTCATTGATAGTAACAGGAAGCCTGACACTGATGAGGGGCTTTGAGATGGAAGGGCCCCCTTTCAGGAAGGGACGCCCTGTCAGTACGGAACAGAGCCAGTGTGGGGAGGAGTGCTCAGCTCGAATGGCGACAGCGGCAGCAGAGTCAGAAGGTCAGTACAGTAGGCTTCGGTTTAAATCTTTAATGCACTGGCTGGCTGGGCAGCGGCGGCGGGGCTGCGGTGGGGGAGGCCACGACCCGAGCGCTGGGGAGCAGGGCCCAGGCCGCTGGACAGACAGCTCATCAGGCCTCGCAGAGGCTCCAGCTTCTGCTCCCCGGGGTGCGCCGAGCTGTGGGGCGACCCGACACTGGCATGAGGCGGGGCGGGAGCTACCGGATTCCCCCCGATGGGTCCTCAGAGACTGAGCCTCGTCCATGCCCGGGGCGGGTTCGCGGTATCGCAGCCCCCTCACCTCCGCTCCCTCCGCCACATGCGCAGCCAGGGGAAAAAGTAGAAACAGCCCCAGTAGATCCTGCAAAGAAAGGGCAGAGCCGGGCCGGGCGGGGCGGGGCGGAGCTGACCCCACAGACTCCGCCCTGCGATGTCTCGCCCTCGAGGAAGGCTCCGCCCCGCCCCTAGCCCCGCCCCTAAAAGCGGCTCCGTTCGCAGCCCACGCCCCTCGGAGGCTCGTCCCGCCCACCCATCGCCCCCGCAGAACTCCACCCTCCCCCACCCCGGAGCCTCCTGGTTCCTCCTCCGCAGAACCCGCCTCCACTCACTCCTCCTCCGCCTCCAGCGCCACCTCGTATCTCCTCATTCCCGACATGTCCTGGGCTCCGAACGTCTCCTGGGAAGTGGCATGATTGAATCAGGGATTCCCTAGCCCCAGGTCCCCTTCTCCGTCATGCTCAGGACGAGGCTGCCCGGTTCTCAGGTAATCTGAGGCTGATGCCCCCGGGAAGCCTCAGTTGCCACCGCGGAACAGGGTGGGCTTGGAGATTTGGGAAGCACTAGAAGTTAAGGGGTGAGGAGGCCGGTCATCTCCGGGTCCTGGGCGAGAGGTTTGCCGGTCATGGGGCTGGGAGATTTGGGGCCCTGGGTGAGGATTTTCAGAGGCTGGGGTCACCTGGAGGGGGGGCTGAGAGGGGTCAGCGCAGCCTAAACTCCCGCCCTCCCTGGCTCCACCCCGGAAACGGATCGTTACCATTACGTCACAGGGATGCCGTTGCGCACTAGGCTTGCCTGTCCCCCGGAAGGGGTGGGGTCTGCATGTCTCAGAGAGGAGGCGGAGTCGAAACGTCATCCTAAGGGGTGAGGTCAGGGGCGGAGTCAGTTGATTAAGATGCAGGCAAAGGACCGCCTTTTATAGGTGTGGAGTCAGGTTTTGGAGCTCCACCTTGGGAGGCCGAGGCTTCTGCACCAGGCATCAAAAAAAGAGGGTTGGAACACAGTCCAGTACTGTTTCCCCAATTCCCACGCCTCCTCTACCCCTCCCTGGCTTCTGCCCTGCCAAGTGCCTTTCTTGCCTGCCTCCCTGCCCTTGTATGACGCTGGGCTGAGGAGGAAGAGGTCCTTAGAGAGAGTCCAGTCCAGAAAAGGCCAGGCTACGGAAATACCTGGCTGAGTGGCCTCGGTTAAGTCACCGAATGGCCACTGAATGGGCCATTGCCCCTCCTCTCTGGCCTGAGACCTATCTTCCTGTGATTTTTTTTTTTTTTTCCTCCTACAGTCATTCAGTCAACATATATTTGCTGAATGACCATCTGTGTGTCAGGCACTGTGCTGGGCATGGGGAGATAGCAGTAAAGGAGAGAGGTGACCAGGCGCGGTGGCTCACACCTGTAATCCCAGCACTTTGGGAGGCTGAGGTGGGCCGATCATGAGGTCCCATCTCTACTGAAAATACAAAAATTAGCTGGGCATGTGGCATGCGCCTGCAGTCCCAGCTACTCAGGAGGCTGAGGCAGGAGAATCACTTTAACCTGGGAGGTGGAGGTTGCAGTGAGTGGAGATCGCAGCACTGCACTCCAGCCTGGTGACAGAGCGAGACTCCATCTCAAAAAAAAAAAAAAAGGAAGAAGAAGAAAGAAGAAAGAGGAAGGGTAGAGTTGGGAGGATCAAAAGAGAACAGTCAGATCCTTACAATAAATGGAGCAGGCTGGCTGGAGGAAGTAGAAGGTGCTGTACCAGAGCCAAGAAAGGGCAATTAACCCAGTGTGGGAGGTTGGAAGTAGCCACCCCCAGACCTCTGACATCCTAGCCAAGGCCCAATACTGAGCCATAGTTTGTTTGAGGAAGGGGAAAGACAGTCTTGGGGCTGGGCTGACTGTATAGAAAGGAGTGATCAGAAATAAGTAGAGTGAAAGTTTCCTCTGGTTGAAATGTGAGGAATGGATACCCCTTTATCTCCCCCATCCCACCCTCTTTCTCCCTCTCATACTTGTCTTCCCCTGTCTGAGCCACATACAGACAGCACACAGAGAGATCCATGGGTGCCAGGTGGTTTTATCGGACACAGTGCAGTCTGGGAGTTGGGAAGCTGTGCTCTCACTATGTTCACCCTTTCACTCACATTCACACTCACGTTGACACTCCAGGCCTGGCTGGGTCAGGTCTGGTGCTGAGGAGCTGGAGGCCTGGTCTCCCTTCTGGTGCTTGGTTCCCCAGGCCAGGGCTCTCTCTGGCACTGTCATGGGCCAACTGCTGTGGCTCTTGCTTTGGGAAAGGAAAGAAAGGAAGTGCCATGGGCTGGAATCTTAGACAGGGGCTCAGAGGGGACAGACAGCACTGGGGAGGGCCAGGCTTGCCTTGGTAGAGATTTTCTGCAGTCTCCAGATTGTGCAATCCATCCAGGACTGGTCTAGAGGGTGGTGCCTCTCAGTGTGGTGAATCTGGAGTCAGAGAGAATGGAGCCCTAGAACTCAGCTTCCCAAGAGGTCCTGGTGTGAGGGGCACATGCTAGGGACCACATCTGGGACCCCGTTTTAGGGACTTCCTTGTGGGAGGGATTGGGCAAGGAGAAGTGAAGGAATTGAGATGGTGAATGGAGACCTGAATGATGGAGGAAGTGATTAGGAGGGGAGGAGACTGGACATTCCTCACCCCTCACTCATAGGACAAAGTGCCCCACAGCCATCCCTAAAGAGGAGGTAGCAAAAGGCACCAAAAATGTCCCCAGGAATTGGGTGTTGGTTTACTAAGAGGCAGAGCCCTCATAGCTGTTGGCATCACCCAGAGCTAGGGGGTGAGTATTAGCTTTAGGGCTTAAGATGGAAAGGCTTAAGACGACTGAACTTGGGATATCTGTGTCCAGTGCCTGCTACAGCTTTAGTGTTGCCCTCTCCTCCACCCACATTCACTGTTCTCTTCTTCCTCTGGGAAGTCCAGGCTTGAGAGACAGAGCCTATAAAGAGAAAAGCAGCCAGAGGCTCCAGGACCCATCCAGGCACTGATACATATAGGAACAGCTGGGGTACAGGCACATCCACATCACCCAGGTGCATACACAGGAGACCGGAGTACCCACACAACACAGGCACACACATAGACTGCAAAGGAATACATACAATGAACAGGTATACCCATGTCACACAGGACATATAGTCACTACGGGGCCTCACCCGTTTGGCATATGTGCAGTGTCAGGTTCATACTTGGACCTGGATGTTGACACTGTGTAAGGAGTATAAATCTCAGGACCCCCAAATCACTAAGGTAAGGGGAAAGTCAAGCTGAGAATTGTGTCAGGCAAACCTGCCTCCCATTTTATTCCTGAGAGATAGCTACAAAGGTAAAAAAGCTACATATCTGGCTGGTGGCTCACACTTGTAATCCCAGCACTTTAGGAGGCCAGGGCGGGCAGATCATGAGGTCAGGAGTTTGAGACCAAGGCTGACCAACGCAGCGAAACCCCGTCTCTACTAAAAATACAAAAAAATTAGCTGGGTTTGGTGGTGGGCACCTGTAATCCTGGCAACTTGGGAACTGAGGCAGGAGAATCATTTGAACCTGGGAGGCAGTGGTTGCAGTGAGCTGAGATTGTGCCATTGCATTCCAGCCTGGGCAGCAGAGCTAGACTGTCTCAAAAAAAAAAAAAAAAAGAAAAAAAAAAAAAAAAAAAAAGCTACAAGGAAATTCCTTGCGGGCTTCAAGATCTTTACCTTAAAACAGTTGTGTCAAATTTCATCCTGGCAATGTAAACTGATAGCTTATCTTCACAGGTGCAGGACGAAGGACAGAACTCAGAGTCATCCCTCTCCTTGCCTGAGACAAATGCATATCTAATTGCTTCTTCTGTCCCATTGTTTATGCAAAAATGCAGATCCACTGAGCCAGACTATGGCATTGGTGTGACTATTCCTTTACTCCCCCTTCCATGTAAATTGTGTATTCAATGAAAGGCTGATCAAAGGCCCAAAAGAATGCAACCTTTGTTTCTTATCTACCTGTGACCTGGAAGCCCCCACTTTGAGTTGTCCTGCCTTTCCAGACCGAACCAGTGTACATCTTACACATATTGATGGATGTGTTATGCCTCCCTAAAATGTATAAAACCAAGCTGTGCCCCAACCATCTTTGGCACGTGTTGTCAGAACCTCTTGAGGCTGTGTCATGTCATGGGTGTGTGCTCAACCTTGGCAATATAAACTTTCTTAATTGATTGAGACCTGTCTCAGATACTTTTGAGGTCATAACATGAATTCAGTTTCCTTTACAGACTCCCTGAGACCTGCATGTTGATCTTCCCCAAAATTTCCTAGTTTATATCCAGCAGAACACTGATATTTGGAGCAAAACTCTGCTTTATTACCTATATGTATCCAACTGTCCATCCATCCATCCATCCACCTGTCCCATCCATTTATTTCTCTGATCATCTTTCAGTGCCAAGACACTAAAGGCAGTTAGCCCTGTTTCACTTGCCAACTTCAATTCTGAAGCTGAGTCTGGATCAGGGATTGGTAAACTTTCTGTAAATGTCCAAATAGTAAAAAAAAAAAGAAATGTGTACATATATATATATATATTTATATATATATATATATTTTGAGATAGAGTCTTTCTCTGTTGCCTAGGCTGTAGTGCAGTGGCATGATCTCAGCTCACTGCAACCTCTGCCTTCTGGGTTCAAATGATTCTCCTGCTTCAGACTCCTGAGTTGCTGGGATTACAAGTGTCCACCACCACACCTGGCTAATTTTTGTATTTTTAGTACAGTTGGGGTTTCACCATGTTGGTCAGGCTGGTCTCAAACCCCTGACCTCGTGATCCGCCCACCTCGGCCTCTCAAAGTGCTGGAATTACAGGTGTGAGCCACCACACCTGGCCAGACAGTAAATATTTTAGATTTTGTGGGCCATCCAGTCTTTGTAGGAACTACTCAGCTTTGCTATTTTAGCACACAAGCAGCCATAGATATAGTTAAATGAATAAGCATGGCTGTATTCTAATAAAACTCTATTTACAGAAACAGGTGTGGCAGACTGCATTTGGCCTATGGGCCAGAATTTGCCAATTCTAGTCTGGATCAATGGGGAAGAGATATTATGTTCTATTATCAGGAACATGAACAGGGAGTGCCTTTGTGTTTGTACTATGATTATAGGCTTAAACAATTGTAGGGTGTTCTTGATGTATGTGAATGATTGGCTTTGTGATTGATTATGTGCCTGTGTATGTATGTGTGTGGCTACAGACATGTGTAGGTGGGTAAGGGTGTCAGCATTATGTATTTGTATATGGTGGGTTTTTTTTTTTTTTTTTTTTTGAGACAGGGTCTCGCTTTGTCACTCAGACTGGAGTGCAGTGGCATGATCTTGGCCCACTGCAACCACCACCAGACTGAAGCTAACCTCCCACCTCCCAGGTAGCTGGGACTACAGATGCATGCCACCACACCCTACTAATTTTTTGTATTTATAGTAGAGATGGGGTTTCTCCATGTTGCCAGGCTGGTTTCAAACTCATGGGCTCAAGTGATCTGTCCGTCTCGGTCTCCCAAGGTGCTAGGAGTACAGGTCGGAGCCACCGCACTGGGCGTGTTTGTTTTCTGGCTGCGCTTTCAATCCATCTCTTTGAGGTTGTCAATCTACAGGTCCTGCAGGGGGCGTCCAGTGCCCAGGGAAAAGGGGATACAGGGCTCCTGGCCTGAACTCTCAACCTCATGGGGCCTGCAGAGGGCGTCTAGCATACAGGCAAACTAAAGTGTGTGGCTCCTGGCCTGTGGAAGTGGGGATCTGGCCTAAGTGGGCTGTCATGTCTTGTTCCAGAAAGGGGCTGGAAATGAGCAAGAAATCAAATTACTCAACTTCTGAAAGTCCCTGATCCTGGAAGGGGTCTGCTTCACTTCCTATCCTTCTGCAAATCCTCTACCCATGTCTGGAGGGTCTCAGTCCAGCTGGAGGGGCAGAGCTTGGCTGTGCAGTCCCAGAGTGTGGGTGGAACATTGTACAGAACTTCTGGAGGCGATGGGATATCAGGATAGGAGGAAGTCTTGAGAAACAGCACACACCCCTTCCCTGCCTCCTACCCCCTGGAGCTTGACATATTGCAACTGCCAGGGTTTTCTCAGTACTTCTCTCCTCGATTCCCTGCAATTTGGGCCACTCTGAACCTCAGGATGCCTGGGCCTGGGCTGCCTGAAGGAGGGAGCTTTGCAAAAAGAACCTTGAGGATGAGTGGGGATGGAGAAAAGACATTT